GACTGGGATATGTGCTTCTAGAGCTGGATCCTCAGCATAGTGCTGTTCTGGAGACTCACTCCCCACAGCAACAGCTGGGGCAAGTTCTTGTGTAGTTTTATCTGGAGATGCGTTTGCAAAGGCAGCTTCTTCAGGGAAAGATTCCTTCTCTGAAGATTCCTGTGGAGCTGCAGCCAAAGTCTCCTGAGGGGCCAATTCCTGATATAAGGCATCATCATCATCCCGATCTTTAATGAAAACTGGTTCTGGTTCGTCTTTTGCAGTAACTGGGATATCTTCTTCAGCAGTTTGCTCAGGAGATGGACCTGCTTCCCCTGCAACAACTGGAATGAGTTTCTCCTGAACGTATTCTTTCTCTTCTATAAAGTGACTGTGGTTGTCAGTTATTGGTGCAAGTTCCTCTTGACCTGGTTCTTCTGCAAGAGCAGAAGACTGAACAATGTTGGCAGCTGCAATAGAAGTTGAGTGATAACTTGAAATGGTTCTCCAGTGCATCAACAGTATAGCCATTTGGTATGTTCTCTAAGTTAGTCAACAAAGGAAGCCTTATTTACCTAAAATCTGTGTTAATAAACATGAAAATAGTTATATATTTATTTATTTATATAAAAACCAGGGCAACCTGATGACAAATGGGCTACTGGAGACATTCATGGACTAGAGCAGAAAACATGGATCTGATGCAATGCTACTATACAAGCAATCCCAGTGAGAGGGGTTATATCATCAACACTGACAAAGAAACCACTTCTAGCTCAGTGTTCTAACATCCGCAAACGGCAGCTATCACAACTAGAGATTGATGAAGTACAACAAATATACTACGGCAAGGAGGAGCCAGGACGACAGGTCAGCGGGGAGATGTTATCATCATCATCCCCACACTCAGAGATTGGGTCTCAAGCCCTTACGGCTCAACATAAGGGTGACTGACCTACGATTGAAGATCATAACCAAGCTGGACCCCCAAGTACAACGACCAAGTACAACGACCAAGTACAACGACCAAGTACAACGACCAAGACTGCCAAGGCTAAGTGACAAAGTACCCTCTGAAAGTCTGCTAGAAGATGTGAATGCAGCACTCCATACTATCCCTACTAAAGCCATAACCGAGACCAATGAGCTGATGTACGCCACAGCAACAGTGATCCTAGAGATGCTTGGCTATAAGATGCCACAAAGAGCATTACCCCCCATGGAGGAGAAGGCTAGAGGTCAAGATCAAGGCAACACGAAGAGAGGTTGGTCAGCTCTCAGAGCTACAGAAAGGCGCAAGGAAGGGGCTACCTAAGAAATACAACAAGCTGTCGATACCTGAGGGTCTGGAGACTGCCAAACAAAGACTCACCACTCTGGCTACCCGCCTAAAGAGATACAAGGGAGAAGCAGAAGCCAGGAGAATAAACCAGATGTTCTCCACCGAACCATCCAAAGTGTACTCTCAGTGGCAGGGTAATAACACAAGATCAGATCCACCCAGGGCTGAGACTGAACAGTACTGGAAGAACATATGGGAGAAAGAGGCATCCCACAGCACCAATGCTCAGTGGCTAGTGGATCTAAGAACAGATCACAGCAATCTCCCAGAACAAGAACCAGTAACAATTACATTGGCAGACATCCAAGAAAGAGTTGCAGGTATGAAGAGCTGGACAGCTCCAGGCCCTGACATGAACCACACCTACTGGCTGAAGAAACTAACTGCACTCCATGAACGCCTGGCAGCACAAATGAACCAACTGCTGATGGATGGGACCCACCAAGAATGGTTAACCCAAGGACGGACAGTCCTGATCATGAAGGACCCCCAGAAGGGAACAATCCCATCCAACTACCGGCCAATAACCTGCCTCTGCACAACATGGAAGCTCCTGTCAGGCATCATAGCGGCTAAGATGAGTAGGCACATGGCTCAATACATGGACAGGGCCCAGAAGGGAATGGGTAGTAATACCAGGGGAGCCAAGCACCAGGTACTGGTTGATAGAGCAGTCACTCGAGACTCCAAGACCAGGCAGACCAAATCTCTGCACCGCCTGGATTGACTACAAGAAAGCCTACGACTCAATGCCACATACATACTGGACACTAATAGCCTTCATCAAGAACTCAGTGCGGCTGTGGAAAACAAGTCTGGAAGCCAACTCAAAGCCAACTGCACAAGTCACCATCAAGTGCGGCATATACCAAGGCGATGCACTATCACCGCTGCTGTTCTGCATAGGCCTGAACCCCCTCAGCCAGATCATCACAAAGACTGGCTACGGATACCGGTTCCGAAGTGGAACAACCATCAGTCACCTCCTCTACATGTATGACATCAAGCTGTATGCCAGAAATGAGCGAGACATCGACTCACTGATCCACACTACCAGGATCTACAGCAACGACATTGGAATGTCATTCGGACTGGACAAGTGTGGTCGCATGGTGTCAAAAAGAGGGAAGATGATCAGAACCGAGGAGAAACCATGAGGAGGCAGCAAGGATGTCCGCCACAGCCAAATACCTACAGAGAGTGAGGCAGATCCTGAAAAGTCAGCTGAATGGGAAAAACAAGATCCGAGCCATCAACACATACGCCCTGCCAGTCATCAGATACCCCGCTGGTATAATAACCTGGCCAAAGGGCTCCTCCTAATTATATATATATGTATATATATATATACACACATATATATATATACATACATATACACATACACACACACACACACATGTGCTGGTCATATAATTAGAATATCATCAAAAAGTTGATTTATTTCAGTATTTCCATTCAAAAAGTGAAACTTGGATATTATATTCATTCATTACTCACAGACTGATATATTTCAAATGTTTATTTCATTTAATTGTGATGATTAAAACTGACAACTAATGAAAATCCCAAATTCAGTATCTCCAAAAATTAGAATATTACTTAAGACCAGTACAAAAACAGTTTTAAAAAAAAAAAATGTTGGCCAACTGAAAAGTATGAACATGAAAAGTATGAGCATGTACAGCACTCAATACTTAGTTGGGGCCCCTTTTGCCTGAATTACTGCAGCAATGTGGCATGGAGTCGATCAGCCTGTGGCACTGCTCAGGTGTTATGAGAGCCCAGGTTGCTCTGATAGTGGCCTTCAGCTCTTCTGCATTGTTGGGTCTGGCGTATCGCATCTTCCTCTTCACAATACCCCATAGATTTTCTATAGGGTTAAGGCCAGGCGAGTTTGCTGGCCAATTAAGGACAGGGACACCATGGTCCTTAAACCAGGTACTGGTAGCAAATCTACACTGTTATACAAGCTGTACACTCACTAATTTACATTGTAGCAAAGTGTCATTTCTTCACTGTTGTCACATGAAAATAACAAATATTTACAGAAATGTGATGGGTGTACTCACTTTTGTGAGATACTGTATTAGTTTAGACTTAAAAGGTAATTGTGGCTGTGGCTAACAATGTTGCCGTTCTCCACAAAGAAAACCCCCACAGTACACTATAGCTCTGAAAATGGCGTTAAATGTAAAGGTGGCTGATTATGTAACAGTTAGGATCTCCAGTGACCTGATACAAATATGGAGGGTGTGTAGTGATCCAAGGTTAGTTCAAATGTCTCACAGGGTAGCATGCTAACAAGAGCAAAATACCTAAAGCAATGTTTGCTTTTTCCTGACTTAGATTCTGTTGACTCAAAATCTACCCATTATGTTCCACCAAACACAGGTTTACATTACTGAACAACAGATTTATGTACTTCTGTAACATATTTCTGAATTAAGTTGGTACATTTAGTGTATTCTGAATTTCACGTAATCATGAATCAACACCAGTAATCTGTTGAATTAGTTGCAATACTTACAAATGAGATAATATATGAATAAGAATTTAAATATTATAGTATTTTAGGATACCTACATTATTGTCGAGATTATTACCGTTGTAGTTTTGCACTTACTTTTCATATCATTGATCTAGGCTAATTTAGGGTTTCCTTTCTAATAATTATGATCAATAATTATTGTATTGAATGAGTTTAGAAGAAATGCATGGCTTACGTATTGGTGCTGATGAGCATAGTTGAATATTTAGGACCAGGGTCAGCAGCAGCAGAGAGGAAGTTTTGAACATTATGTCCGATCTCTCAGAGTCCTGGAGTCAAACAACTTCCAAAAACTCCAATACAGCAGTCAGACCAGTGCTCCTACTGTGAAGGAATATCCTACAGGGTTGAAGCACACGTGTAAGGTGTCAGCGTGGACACATTTTGTGAAGTGACACACCACATGGAAATACTGGGAGGGTGCTTCAAGGGCTGGGTGGGTAAAAAGAGAAACCTACTGGGAGATCGCATGGACTGTTTCTACAAGACTGCACACCAGTCGTTCCTTACTTTCTGCCTTTAAAGCTCTGTAAAAAAAACAGACTGTTTTCTAAACACTACATTAAGATGAGTTGCTTAAACATGTATTTACAGCAATCCATTTTTGGTGCCTTGGTCTGTCCCAATCTAAGATGTTTATTTTAACGTTTTTTTGTTTCTCTATTTACAATAAAAGGTATTTGTTCTGTGAATTCTGTGTCCCACTCATCTTTACTCAGTCTCAGACTTATCAGTAAAACAGTGTTTAGAAACTTTCCATCTGGTACAGTTTAAAGAGAGGATATGCTACCTTTTGATATTTCCATTAACTGAAGCATATTTATAAGTGCGTTTATAAAGCATATCAATATAAAGAATATCGTTTGGGCAGTGTAATAAAGCCCTTGTAACCTAGGGAGTGATCTTTTATTAATGTGTGTTTTTCACGTTTTTATTTGCTTGTTAATATTTAGGAAACTGTTTGGGGTTTTCTTGTTTTTTTCATGTGTTTCAGAGGAGCTGCTCATATTATGACAGATATTTAAGTCACCTCCATGCTTAGGTTTTGAAAAATCGGTACATCTGCTGATTAAAATGTCATCCTGCCGTGTAATATTGACGGAAAAAAGCTCAAACAGCACATTAATCCACAGTGAAGTTACCATATTTTATTTCTTTAAGTGCCATTCATGCATATTGGGGAAGGGGGTGGGGTGGGCGGTGGTATCGACAATTCTAATAACACTTGAGTTATTTTACAGCACTAAACAAATACAAAGAGTAGCTGTGTCACCTCATTGGACAACAAAAGTAATAAACCGTGCAATAAACAAAAAAGGACAAATAGGAGGGGGAAAAAAATACAAGAAATGACAAAGACAAAATCAAAAAAAAAGAAAAGGAAAAAAAAAAAAAAAACACAAACCAAATATATATTATCAACACTGAAACACTGAATGTAGAACCATAGTACAGGTAAAAGGTAGTGTCACACAAAAAAAGCCAACGCATTTTCATCACATATATACAATATAGATATATACATACTGTCACCCTCTGATTGGACAATAACAAAATACTCTATTCTTTTACCTCCTCTCTTTCGTGAGTAAGACCCCACCCCCTGCCTTGATACCCCACCCCCAAGAGGAAAAAAGGGATGATTGAAAAGACGTATATGTACAAGCACAACAACACACCAGCACTGAATAAAATAGGCCCCAATCAGCAGTACTTGTTGGCAGTTCTCTCCCGTATTGTAACAAGGCTTTTTTTTTTTGTTGTATCTTTTCATCTTTTTTCCCCACTAATAGTAATCTCTCTGGCAGGTACATGTCCAGCGGAATTTAAAAAAAGAACTTACACAACTCACACAAGCAAACACACAAATACACATACATACAGACATAATGTAAAACTGTGATTGTGATCCAGTCATTGTCTTCACCTTTTTCCCTTTTAGCCACATATGTTAGCTCAAATGTATTTTCCCAATGGGCTGCTGTGCTCAAATATGTAGGTTGTGTGTTCACAGTCTTCACCTGGAAGAACTGAAACACTCGTCACCTTCACACCAACCAAGGACCCTCAGACTTTTCTCCATTGTAGGCCCATAGAGTCCTATTGAATACACATTGATGCTCTTTTTCACTGCTGTCTTCAGTTGCAGTCCTTTGGCCCACACAGTCATGATTTGGGTCACTCAACTGACTAAGTATTCTGTCTGAGCAATTCTGGCAGTTGAACACTTTAAAAACTCAGTTGAGCTCCACAGGCGAGGCAATCCTCCACATACAGCGGACATTTGATATACAAAAAACTGACAAAACATCGCAGAAATAAGCAGGAGTGGGCAGGTATGATTGGCAGGAAAAGAAAACAAACTATTAGCTGAAAATATAAAATTGAATGGCAGTGTAGAAGAGAACATGACTTCATCTGCACAGTTTAACGGAAGATCTACAGCATAAAACTGGGCTGGTTCTATAAGCTTCTCTGTGATCAAATGTAGAAACATACAGTGCTATAATATCCAATAAAATAACTATGTGAGACTTGCCTTTTCTTCCATAGATATTATGCAATAATCATAAAAAAAGAATCCATGATTGTCATCCAAATATGAAACAAAACTAAGGTGACCACTGGAGACCCTCGTTGCTAAAATATCTTAAAAGGAATAGTCTGACATTTTGGGAAATGTTTACTTATTACTTATACATATTCACTTTCTTGCTGAGAACACAAAGACTGAACTGGCCTGGGTGAAGGCTGAACTAGCCAGGATCTGTCCAACAGTAATAAAATCCACCTACCAGCACATCTAAATCTCAGTAATTAACGTGTTATATCTCCAGGATGTGACCTCACCTAGCCAGGAAATAGTACAATAAATTGTAGTTTTTACACTAAGATTTTTGTACGGATAAACACATGAGACATGTTGATTTGTGAGCTTCACAGGTGCAGGTGGATTTTCTTATCTTTAGACAGAGCCAGGCTATCTGTTTCCTGAGTCTTAATGCAAAGTTAACTACTGTAGCCAGATGCTAGCTTCATAGTTACCATGCAGTCATGAGTGGAAACAATCTTCCTGGCAAGAAAACAAACAAGTGTATTTACCAAAATGTCGGAAAATTCCTTTAAACAAGGACACACAGTGTCATAGATGCAAAGCACTGTACACAGTTCAGCAGTGTTGCAGAGAGGAGAAATAATCCTGGTCATTGTCAACTGTAGACAATGCCTTATAATTGCCTCTAGGGGTCAGACAGTCTAACAGTGGGAGAATGAATAAATGACAGAATGAGTTTGTGAGTGACTGACTAGATTTTAAAATCCTGGAGGTGCTTCGCATCTTAAAAACGGTTTACGATCAACAAAAGTGTGCAAAGAGCGTTTTTTTTGTTTGTTTGTTTTTAAACATAGTGTCTCTAAAGTTCAGCACCTGTCTGATTGAGGAGCCACTTCTTACAGGACACAGAGGACAGGTTTGCAGAACCGCTGATCTCCCTGTTCTGTGCTTGAGAAACCCTTCCTACCAAAAAAAATAACAAAAACGCATGTCTCAAATCTAGTCTTCAATCACTGTGTGCATCTGCTTTTGTGCTCATAGATAGCATAGAGATGATTGCAGCAATCAATCATAGCCCTAAAATTACAATAAAACCAAAACACGCACACATACACACACATACACGCATACACCATATGTTCAACCAACACGCACACGCACGCGCGCGCACACACACACACACTGCATGTACTGTCTAATGAGTCACATTTCCCATTCTGTTATGATTGTATAACAGCAAATTCTTACGCTATCCAACTATCACAACAAAACATTGGGCAGCTAAAAAAAGAATCACATCTCCATTATTGAAATGCCAGAAGCAACAATAAACACTGAGTGTAGCATCGAAACCTCAATTTAATGTACAACAGGCAGGAAAAGGCATGACTTTGGATGCAACTCATTCAACAAATCAAGGAAATGTGCACCAAAACGCTTGCTTTTTTTTTGCCCTTTTCAAATGGAAAGTTCAAATCTGATGCATATCCTATTGATCATTAATTAATCAAAGTATTAAGACATTTAAGAAGCTTCTTAAATGTTCTATTAGTTTTTTATTTGAATAGATTTTATTAGTCTACTAGCGATGTCTCAAGTCGGTGATGCTTGAAACCACTGCTCCCAAAATTGCACACACGTTCTTTACGTATTACTTGGTACTGTCACTAATATAAATTATTTTAATATGGTTTGCATACAATTTGAATTGTAATTGTTTAAAGGAATACACGTCTGTGCGGTACATATGAAGCTACATCCAGCAGACAATTAGCTTAACATAATGAGTGGGAACTGAGGAACGCAGCCAACCTGGCTCTGTCCAACGGTAACAAAATCAGCCTACAAGCATCTCTGAAGCTCACTTATTAACACGTTACATCTCCGCACTGCAACCGGCACAGATATAGACTGACACTAACTCCTTTTTTACGCTACGTTATTGTACGGACAACAAGATATACTGTGTTAATTAGTGAGCTTTAGAGGTGCAGGTAGGTGGATTTTGTGGCCGGACAGAGGCAGGCCAGTTGTTTCCTCCGGTTTCTGGTCTTTGAGCAAGGCTAAGCTAACAGTTTCCTGGCTATAGCTTCAAATTTACCGTACAATCTTCTAATCTAGCTCCTGGGAAGAAAGTGAATAAGCGTCTTTCCCTAATTATCAGACTATACCTTTAATAAAACTAAACCCCACTGATATGAACAATACACTTAACACATAACAAAAACTTGCTTGTAAATTAGAGACCAACCGGTCCTTCATTGTTGAGGCAGATGCCTTTGAAAGTTGGACGATATTTGTTTTTAGACATGAAGAGATTCTCTTTAAGATTCTCTCAAATTGTTTTTTACAGAAATGTGACCATCATATGGTCTGAGTGAACCACTTAACAGTTGTCAGTGCTCTCTGGTTGACAACTGCAACAGAAACACAGTTTTCTTTCGGTCTTTGACATTTCTGTAGTGCAATTTATTGTTTTACTTATTGGCTACCTTCTATGCCAAAACTGATTTACTGGTGATAAGTTGATCAGTCAGACTCTAATGCAAATTATTTCATTGTTTCTGAATGATGGTGGCGTGTTTAATGATCAACAGGCTACTCATCTAAAACTTTCCCATGAAAACCTGCTCAAAAATGTGAATTGGTTTAGTATTTAATGTCACCACAGCTTCTGGTTGGTAAAGCAATTATTAACCAACATGATGCACAGAGAACCTAAATCCTATGGTTACTTTGGGTTGAATGAATTTAAAAAGACAAAAAAAAAATATCTGACTTTCCTGCTTTCACCTTCTTCTCACACTCATCATATTCACTCATCTTGAAGTGCTTGAGACAGAATGAAGGAACAAAATTGCTGCACTCCCATAACTAGTCTGATCACATTAGTTGGCTATGAAAACTGATCACGATACTTTCTGTGATCTCCCTCTCACTTTCTCTGTTTAATATCGAGCCTGCTTAAACTTTTAACACCCTGTTCAAACCCTCAGTTACTGTAAACCTAACTTTACCACCAAATTCAGCCAAAGCGGGGCCCGCTTTCTCCCAAAAGTGACCAACGAGCACCATCACATTACTCACAGACACGGCCTGTGTTTCTTAAAAGCAAAAAATAAAACAAAATCGTTTTTTTGAAAAAAGAGAGAGATTAACTCATCCAAGAGGCAGCTGAGGCCAATGTCAACACGAGAAGAATTACAAGCTGAACACGTCGCTCAAATCACATAACAGTTACGGAGAAGAGGGTCGGGGGGGGGGGGGGGGGTTCTGACTTTGGAAGGCTGTTGGCTAGGGACGGGGAGAGGGCTGGCTGAGGAGCTGAGGAGCATGTGATTTAGTTTTCTACTTGTCTCTAGACAAGTACATAAGCAATCACTTTAACATGTCCGACTAAATATGATTGTCTTCAAAGTAACATTTTCTAGTTATGTTTTGCTTTTGTAAAAATGACGGGACTCTGAAGTCTGTCTCCCAAGCTTGTCAAATGTTCTTCTGAATCCCACCCACAGTGGCCTCCTTCTCCTCCTCCTCCTCCTCCTCCTCCTGCGGCCTTTCAGCGCAGCCTGGCTTCCTCTGGCTTCCTCTGGCTTCCTCTGGCTTCCACCACCTCTCCTCGCTCCCTTTTGTTTGCAAAAGGAGGTCTAGGGGCTAGACAATGGAGTCCCAATCAAAGTCATCCTGGATGTCATCAGCTGGCATGCGATGCATCTGGAAGTTTCTGGCAGGTATCATGTGCTGCTGGTTCATCTGTGCATGGTGTCCTGGAGAGAGAAGAGGTGGCCGTTAGCTTTTCTTAGGCACGTTTTAATTAATGAAAAAAATCACGTTTTCTCTGTGGCTTCGGTCACCTGGCATTGTGGGTCCTGTGCTGCTCATTGGGGGCATGTGGGGATATCCTGGAGGACCCATCATGGACATGCTCTGTCTGGAGTCCATGTAGAGATTTCCTGAGGAGAGAATCAGAATAAAACTTTACTTTAAGCTCTAATCAATCTAATCAGACCAGGAAAAGCACAATGCAATTCAAGTAATGCATTTTAACAAAGCCAGATTTAAGGAGGAGGCCCTGTAGTGTCATTTTTTACGGTCATTTTACAGGAGTAAAGGATCTGTCTGAAAGTAGGGCTGCAGCAATTAGTTGACATAATAGACAACATCAATTCTAAAAATTTATCGACGTGAAATTTCATTGTTGACGCCTCGTTACAGAGAGGCTGTTTAAGGGTCACAAAAAAGAAGCATTCATGCGAGGAGTGGAGAAACAGGCTAACACAGTTGAGAAATTAACTGTGTAGAATTTGAATATTGGCAGTTTTACGAAAGTTGATGGCGAATCGAAAATGTGCTCAAATGTTTTTGGAGAAGCTCCACAAGCTTTGACTGACGCTGATACTTCATTCTGAATAGTAAACCTCGTTCACTTAATGGTAACGTTAGTGAGTTAGGCTGTGTTGGACATCAGTAATACACTTGAAAGATATTTAATTAGTTAAATGGTTTAATTAGGGTTAGGGAGTGACCAAAATAATCGCGACTAGTCGACTAATCGCATAATCGCATAATTAACAGATTAGTCGACAACAAAAATAATCATTAGTTGCAGCCCTGTCTGAAAGTATAGCTAATACCCACAGGTGAAAAATCATGCTTTTATTTACACTGCTGGACCCTTCAAACAATGTTTGAACTGTTTTCAGCTACACAGTATTGTCAAAGTACCTGCTCTCCTAAAGACACCCTTTTAACTTCAAAGTTTGTAAAAATAGCACAAGTGAGCAAAGTTCACATTAGGGGACCCTGACAAGGTTTGGGGAGAAGGAAAAAAAAGCCTAATTCTGCTACACAAAATTGTGTTTATTCTTTCAGACATTCCTCTAATCTTTTGTTCTTTCCTTGTGATTTGCAGGACTTTATGTCTTCAGGACTCAAAAATTATGCAAACAAATCAGGTAAAATAAATCATCTTTAAGATGAACTGGTCAAAACTGGTATACACATGCAGACGGGAATGAGGGACTGCAAGTAGACACTGTTTGGTTTAGGGTTCATGAGCCAAAAAGATTGAGTTTAGTATAATTAAAATCCTTACTGATGAACATTCAGAAAGACCGAATAACTGTACTGATATTGCAGTTGTTTTGAACCTCTATTTATTCTGTAAAACTACATGATCTTTCCCAGGAAAGAAAACCAGATAACAGGGCAGCACTTAAAGTGCAAATGCCTGAATCTTTCAAGATGCACATTGCAGATTATTTCCTTGATGAGTCCAGAACAAAAGCTACTCACCACAACTACACAAGTTCAATCAAACGGTGACATTAACAAGGTCGTAGGGTTAAGGAGTGTGTGTTTTACCTGTATTGAGGTGCTGGCTGGGTTTGTTGGGGTGCATGGAGCTATGACAAACAGGAGGCTGCACTGCCCCTTGTGGCTGGATTACACCGGTGCGGGCGAAAAACTGGTTGATGGACGAGCAGAGGTCTGCGATCTGGGTGGGTTCCAGGGACCAATTGTTCAGCTCCGCTTGTCTCATACTCTCTCTTAATCCTTAGAAAGAGAAAACACACATTTATAGACAAAAAAAGAGTTACTATCAGAGGTAGTGAAGGTATCTGTCTGCACTAAAATTGCCTTGTGACAATGAAATGTATGAAACTGCACCAGCCGACTGTCCAATAAATATAAATTTAGTAAATGAGGAACTAATTTACAAACATGAAGCAAAAACTTTGCTTGCAATATGTATTCATTATGGCAGTAACCTTCAGTGGGTGATATTTAAAAACATCCTACCTTGCAATCCTAGACTGTAATTGGATAAACTGACCTGCTGAGCTCAGTGTTTTGGTAATTAAACTTGAAGGCAGTGTTATTTAATTGAAGAGCTCAGTTTAATTAAACTCATAATCAACTCTACAGTGTCAACACTTCAACACTCAATCAAAAGCTGGGGCAGTACTGTACTATCAGCGATCAGCTCCTGGCTTTAAATGTTTGTTTTTTCTAAAATCTAGAAAGAACTTAATCTCAGACAAATATAATTATTATTTGTTTCATATTTGTAAATACAGTATGGTCTCTCTGTAGTGTCCAAACCGCACCTTGGAAAGGTGAAAGGTCGACATCAGCCCAGTTATAGCTGCTAGCAATACGACAGCTTTCTTTCAGTGCATCCAGATTTGGGTACCAGTCAGACAGTAAACCTGCAACACACACACAGGATACTATCTGTAACATTACAGGATAAGAGACTTGAAGGATACAGGTAATTTTGGTTTCAGCACCAAGTTCACTCCTGGGACAAATACAGATTTAGTCCCAATTACATCACTTACAGACAACTGCACGATAATTGCTGCTATAATTGTTATTTACTGTGAGTTAGGTAATAAGGCCAGATGATGCATTTTCATTGTAGTCACATTTTTATAGCTGTGCAGGCAGTATTGTGTAGTGCCAAATGAATGAGAAGGTAACACCAAATAAAACAGCTTATCAGGCTTTTAAAACAGTTCAGTGCTGTGGCCACTAGGAGGAGCCAGTCGACTCTGTAACAGCTGCTAAAGTCAGTGGATGCAGCATTGCTTTGTTCTCACCACAGCACAGATAATAAATCAGATGATGATTTACTGTTTAGCACCTACAACAATTTCTCAATGTGATATGACTAAAAAATGAGGACTGATACAAAACCATATTCAACTGAACACGTTGTCGTTGCTTTTGTTGATGTGTGCCTGTGTGATGAACGGGGTGAAGAGGAAACAACGCAGCAACGCTGCTTCAAAGGAAGACAATGACAGACAGAGGGTCTTACCTGTGTTGCAGGCCATCTGTTGCTGGGTAGGATGGGGCTGGTGGGAGAGGCTCTGATGCTGCTGTCCGTGTTGAGAAGGGTGCTGGCTGTGCTGCGTGTGTTGGGAGGGGTGTGGCGTGTGTTGCTGTGGGTGCTGGCCGTGGGATGGGTGCTGCGATGGGTGCTGCCCATGCTGGGAGTGTGCAGCGTGCTGAGGGTGCTGTGGGTGTTGACTGTGCTGGGCGTGTTGGCTGTGTTGGTTGTGGGGGCCGCCGTGCTGCGGGAGGTGCTGTGCGTGGGGCGAGCCGTGGCCAGGGTGGGCTTGGGCAGGATGGGACAGGGGCACCTGGCCACTGTTGGTGGAGTGGCTGTTTGGGTGGTTGTTGGGTTGGTTGTTTGACAGGCTGTTCTGAGTGCTAATGGTGCCACTGGGGGAGTGCTGATAGGAGCAGGAGGTGTGGGTCTGCTGGGAGGAATCTGACGGTATGCCCATCAGACCTGAGAAACAAAACACAGAGCTTGTAAGAGCACTGAAACAATTTGTCAATCGACAGAAAATTAGGCAAACAACTTTGATAACGTGCTGCAACTAACTTTTCATGATCGATTAATTTGCTGATTATTTTCCCAATGAATCTATTTGATGTTACGTCTATAAAATATCAGCGAATAAGAAAAATGTCCATCACATTTTCCCAGAGGCCAAGGTGACGTCTTTAAACATGTTATTTTGTCTTTGTCAAAAATATCCAATTTATAATTAATTTAAATAAAACAGAGAAAATCAGCAAATACACCGAATAAGCTGGAACAAGCAAATGGTTTTGCGTTTGAAAAATGACTCAAATTATTATGTAATCATCTCTATTGTGAGGATTTGCTGCTTTTCTCCACTTCTTGTCATTGAACATTTGTACATTTTGTACATTGTATATTTGAATTGTGGTTGTTATAACAGAAAAATCTATTCGCAGACGTCACCTTGGGCTCTGGGAATCAGTGAACATAAAAAGAATTGACAAATTAATTGATAATGAAAATATTTTAATTGAAGCCCTAGCCCTAGACTACTAATTCTAACACAAATGTCAGTCACATGGGTTCAGACTGAGGTGTGTTAGTATAATGCACTTCAGCACATACACAAAGATAGTCACGGTCTTCTCATGTAAAAACAGCTACTTAACGTATGCATCTTAACATCTTACAATGATGGGATATGGGCCTCCCGTGTTCTACTCTTGAGATAGACCAGCTGCCATTTTGTTGTATCAGGGAATGACTCAGCATTAGTTGTGTCTCTGAGGTTCAGGAGCCGGGGCTGCCGTCACCTCTCTTCTCCAGCTACATAGCTCTGGACTGTCTTTGACGAATTCATTGTACTGCTGCACGGCTCTTTAACAGACATGACTAGAGCATGAACATCTGCACACCCAACTGCAATCATCCGAGTGGCAGGGAGTGGTCTTAAGAGGCCCTGTCCTTCACAGCTTTGGCACAGTAAACCTATTTCACTGGAGTGCTTTTAGAGCTGACTCTAGCCCTGCACCTCCACAATCGGCACGTAACACTCACTGCAGGGGTGACAAAGGTGCATCTCTTATCGGCACAGAAAGCCCATTGTCCAACCAGGGAAATACAGAAAGCAATTAACGCGGCGCCAGAATAATAATGCGAGCTCATTACCTATTATCAAAGCCAGTGAATTAGCTCACTGTCTACAGCGGCAGAGTGTGAAATCCTCTAGCTCGATTATTTACGCTTTTTAATTGCTAGAGCTTGTCTAACTAAGAGATTTCACTTTTATGCGCATAAAAAAGGTAACAACTTTCAACTAATGAAACATAGATGATAGATTAAAGGAGAGGAACTCTTTGAAAACATTAGCATGAAATGCATTTGATTTGTGGAAGTAGGTTATACACAGAAAGCTCAGTCTACTTTGCTCATAACCCGCTTGTCAAGTGCTCTTTGTTTATCAGTCAATCAGATTACAAGCAAAAATGCATTTTGCTCTGCAGGGAATTAGGCTTTTGGAAAGTTGTGCTCTTTCCACCAACATGTATTATATCATACAAATTCCCCATCATTATGACAAATGAACCTCAAATCCAACAGATTTACTGAGGACTCAGGCAGCCTTTAACCTCGACGCCTCTGATGAAACACAGACTACATGAGGAAACATTTCAAACATGACAAGACGCAGAAAAACTTTCATGTAACTTGAAATATATAAAGCAAGAAGCATGGTGTATTAATTCTGAATTAACCATTAAATAAATGCAGCAACATCTCTTTACATCCTCTCATGAAATATTTAAGACATCAACTCTCAGCCTCTGCTTTTGAATATGAAAAGAGGCCTTTTCCACATTGCTCTGGCAGAAGACCATAAAAATACTACACAATAGGAGAGTATAAATTTGCACTATAGGCTAGCCTGCCGGATGAATTCCTGCTCACTTCTCAGTAAACCTAATTAGTGCCTAAAGAGTCTCTACAGCCCCAGCTGTTAAGAACAAATCCACATTAGGAAATCGTTCTGAGAAGCATCCTGTTTCTGGATAAATAAAGCTTAGGCTCTCCATTAGGTTTCCACTTGATGCTCCCGTGAGGCCACTCACCTTGTTGGCTGAAGGACTGCTCAAAAACAGACTTGTAAAGGCTGCGGAAGGAGGCACTGAGATCTTCAAATTCAGAGAACAGGAGCTGCTTATCCCTGTCTGGCATGTTGTACTGGGACTGGGGAGTCTGCTGGAGGCTCATAGACTGGGACACGGGCTCTGGGTGACTGGTCACCTATGGAGGTGAAGAGATTAAAAAAGCTGAAGATTTACAAAAGCAAAAGAGCAATATTGACACCAATAGAAGAGATGTTTAATGTTTAATCTGTGAGAGATTTTGTGAAAGTTCACTGGCTTCAGCTCTGCTACATCTGCACCACAGACATCTGCACAGGGACTACAGATACTAATAGGAGCGCACTATAATGTTCGAACATAAAAATCAATAATATACATACTTTTCAAAGATACTCGCAATGCTCATCTGGTCATGGAGCCGCAAAAACAGAAAACCTCTAGAATATTGGATGCAAAGTGGTGGTTTATGAGAATGTACGCAACAAACACACAGTTGGATATGAGAAGGGTTTGATTCCTCTTAGGAGCCACTGTAAGAATGTGGATTCTGTCTGATGTGGTGTCAGTCACACAACATTTAAAGAACATTTACACAAACCGCAACAATCTAGGTCAGTGCTTACCGCCTTTGGCTCACATAACATTAAGAGACCAACAAGAATGGACACAAACCCAATACTCAGGTGGCCAAGCAACTGTATTTAAAACAAAATCAATAGCAATACCTTGTACAAATAAGCAGCCATTATATCCATATATTTGTGTGGGCAGTCAATGTTATGCACTGCCCCTGGGTGTGAAACAGCAAGTAGCATTCCTCCCAGCAACTAGTTTGTCTACGAGATTCATCACAGCAAGGGCAGCGATGAAATACCATTGCTATTTCACAAAGTTGGACCTGACCTGTGTCCACCGTGGGCTAGCATTACAAGAGAGGTCACGTCCAATTTTTGATCATAACATCTTCCTCTTCCAAGATGTGGGCAGGCTGCTGAAGTGCAATGGCTCACAGTCTGGCTTGGGTAAGAGTGAAGAGGTGATAATAAAGCCAGAGTGTTTACTGTGAGCTGCTGCTTTGGTTTTGAGAGAGAGCGCACATCCATCAGGCTGAGCCGATCGATGCCCAGAGCCTGGAGCGGGGAGCACTCTAGGATGCGGGAGGACCACAGCAAAGAGGGGGCATCTCTGGTGGGAGGACATCAGAAGTAGCGCTTCTCTTTGTCTGGCTTCCAGGAGCGTGCACATTTTTCTCTGTTTCCCTTAACCCCCTTCCTGATGTTGTACTCTAGCGCATGTCCACCCTGAACCTCGGTCTATTGCTGTCTACGGCTGGCTCCTCTGAAGAAAGCCTCCTGGGGCTGAGATGAAATATGGGATACAGTGCACTTTCTAAGTCTGGCAGTGTTTCCTTTTCATTCATTTAGTGACTGTGGCTACCCTCACGGATTGAAAAATGTCGCTAAAATGACAATTTATCATTTGGCCAAAACCCTTTACGCTAAAAAAGAAAAAAAAAAAATTAACAATTACACCACATTTATTTAAATATTCTGTTATAAACATTCAACTAAGAGACTTTCATGAGCTGCAACATCAACAATCAGAATAACCAGCATCCTACACTCTATTCACCCTTTAAGGGACAGAAAGGCCATGGTATATTTGACGAAAGGTAACCAAGATGCTACAGCAGCACCTTATTTGTTCCGTCTGTAACCGTGTCCACTTACTAGTAACTCGAGTTGGACCGGGTCCAAATAGTCTCTCTCTCTGTCAATAAGTCAAGTGGATCCAAGTCAACTCGCGATCAGCTCTGATCATATGGTGTATAATCATTGCTTGAGTTTTTTTAACACAGAAACAACATTTATTGTTACTCTCTCCCAAGCTCTTAAATTAGCCGTGTGTCATGATGTCTGCCACTATTCTCGTTCTATTTTTTGGTGTTTGTGTTCAGGTCGGTCCACATTTTGGATCACAGCTTATCATCATCTGGATATTTTCAGACTGAAGACTGGATTAATTTTTCTGCATTTTTTTTAACGTATTGTACACTAAAGAGATTAGAGCTGCAGCTGATTAGTTAGTTGTCAACTATTAAATCAATAGTCAACTGTTTTGATGACCAATTCATCAGTTTTTTAATTTTTTTAAGGGAAGAAAAGTCAAAATTCTCTGATTCCAGCTTCTAAGTTGTGAATATTTTCTGGTATCGTTACTCCTCTATGACAGTAAACTGAACATCTTTGGGTTGTGGACAAAACAAGACATCTGAAGATCTTGGGGTTTGGGAAACACTGATTGACAATTCAACCATTTTCTGACATTTTTTATACCAAAACAACTAATCAATAAATCTAGAGAATAATTGACAGAATAATCGACAGTGAAAATAATCGTCACCCTAGAGATGAGAAGAAATGGGGGGGGGGAAGAGAGAGAGAGAAAGAGAGAGAGAGAAAGAGAAAGAGAGAGAGAAAGAGAGAGCTGGTAATGATATGCAACAAATGTCCCCAGCTGGACTTGAATGGGGAACACCGCAGTTCACAGTCAATGACTTAACCCCCTGGCATGTCGTGTTCAGGTAGGTAGATTTTCCACTGGTCAATTTCAGATAGCGTCCAGCCAGAATTGTACACACATGAAGACCTCTTAAATGAACCCCATCACTGCAGACTTCCCCATGAAGACTTACCGCTGTATAGCTGTGCACACTGCCCACACTGTTGAGATTGACGGAAGCCAGACTCTGATCAGACAGGCTGTTGTTAAGGCTGCTTCTTGGACTATCGCTCCCTTCCTGGTCTGTGTTGTACAATGCCACCTGAAACACAAACATGTACATTAGCTTATTCTCTCGCAGACACATGTTGTGTCCGTCATCTCCTTGCTGAAGGCAGAGCATGTCAGCATTCCTATGAGATAATGGGTATGAAAGGTAATGTTGCTCTATAGTTAGGAAATGTAAAGCCTGAGCATGTGTGTGTATGTGCTGCATGCAATGACATGTCATAATAGCAGAGTGTGTGTAGGAGACGCAGGGTGCTGCTGAACACCCACCACAGTCACTAAGGTGTTCCAGCCAAACGTATAAAGGGTTCTGGAGACAGCTGAGACATTCCCATCACTAAAGGTCACACTATTGCCGATGTCAGCCACATCTGCTCACCAAGCGCAAATCCGTTTGGGACAGCTAACAAAGGATTTCAGTGCATCCGAGACACTGACCTTTCAATATAGCAGCGAAACTAGCCAAAGCACTTCACGACGACAGTCTTAATTATCGTCTAACAAAGTTTAGTCCTCCCACCCTTCCCAAATAAAGTGCGGTGTCAGACAATTAAGACAATAGTAAGAAGAACGATCCAGATAATGAAATTAATGATCCCCACAGAGAATAGCCCCTTTGTTGAGTTTTGTATTGTGAGAAAGGAATGACAGTAATGCAGTGATGGTGTTGCAGTAGAAGAGAGCCTGGCATTCTAAGACTGGTGTGTGTGTGTGTGTGTGTGTGTGTGTGTGTGTGTGTGTGTGTGTGTGTGTGTGTGTGTGTGTGCGAGAGAGAGAATGTGTTTGTTTGTGTCCGTCCATGACTGAGTGCAGCATGGTGGCTTCTGCTCATCACTGAGAGAGGAACAGAGTGGGCTCTGTGCTCAACACAATGAGACAGCAGTGGCAGCAGCCTTCAGGCAGGCGGATCGGCCCAGCCCTGCCCAGCACCCTGCCTCAGCAGCAGCGGACTGAAGCCTCTTGTCTATCTGCTGAGATGCAGTGAGCTACACACAGGCCACAAGGAGGCAAGGAAACCCAGGCAGCCCTGACTGCCTTCTCTGCTCTGACTGATTGGCCAGCTGACTAACATGCTGGTACGATTCCAGGACCCACACATGCAGAGTGAGGGAGTCCGATCATATTAAGCTTTTAATATGGAGCTTGGCTCCTGAGCTGGTAGCATGAGAAAGAAATACTGCGATTAAAAAAAACGGAGTGCAAATGCTGGATCCAGGCAGGGCTGTACAAGGAAGAGGAGTGAGGGTGAAGAGAATAGGGGTAGTAAGAGAAGCTCATTAGCCAACTCTAGCCTTCCTTCCACTCAGTGTGGGCTTGGCTCCAGCGTTCATTACCGTGAAGGGGAATTCAATGAGCAGCTAAGACTGAAGGCTTAAGCACATCTACAAAATCAGCCCTACAATGCTAATCAAAAACAGCGTGCCTCAGAAATATAAATGTTATGTGTAATGAAGTCATAAAATGGGCTTTTAGCCTTAAGTCTCTCACCGCAATCTATTTTTACTCTCACTCACCCATAAAGTGTGATGATTTTAAAACCTCAGTGCTCTGTGGTTTACGCAGACCCCAGAGTCCCGCGAGTGAAGACGCCCACTCAAGCATGCACCGTCCCAGTCACATCTCACCCACATACATAGGAGCATGCACAAAAACATGACACACTCCCATTTCTTCAGCTACGGTGCACAAAAGGTAGGATAACACACATCCAAAAACACACAGACAGAGGCAGGCATGCTCATACAGGCAGGAGCGGTTCTACAGTAAATACTGTGTACAGTGTTAGCTAACAAGCGAGTCAGAGATCTATTCTTAGCAGTGAATTAAGTAAAAAGCCAGAGGTGTCTTTTACATGGGGGCCTAATCTGGAGCATGAGACATGGATTATGAAATCAAAGCAAGATTGGCCCAGGTGTCTCCAACAATGCCAGCTACTGTTCAGCACAATCCCTGCAAGCAGGATTGAACAGACAGGGAGAGGCAGAGGAAGAGAGAAGGAAGGGATATATATGTGTGTGTGTGTGTGTGTGTGTGTGTGTGTGTGTGTGTGTGTGTGTGTGTGTGTGTGTGTGTGTGTGTGTGTGTGTGTGTGTGTGTGTGTGTGTGAGAGAGAGAGAGAGAGAGAGAGTGTGAGTGAGTGAGAGAGAGAGAGAACCATTTATCAGCAAACACTTCCAACAATCCCCTCTTTCCCTTCATCATCACACTTCAGTGCCAGCGTTTCATCACATCCATGCTAATGTTTAGGACCCCCTCAGAACACAACCTTTGAGGTAAGGACAATCTTGTGAGGAATGTCCGACAGGAGAAAGAAAAGAAAAAGAGATTCTTGCTGGTTCAGTAGTCGTTCTGCCAGCGTCTCCTATTGGTCTATCTGAGAAGGCGGGAATGAGGGAGAGAGACTGGAATAGAAGGGGAGAGAGAGAAAAACAGAGAGAGGGAATTCCTGTGGCTTGGCACACTGCGCCGAAAGAGGCGTGGCCTGTCGTGTGTTTACAGTGTGAGACAGTGAGAAACAAGGTCTCTCTGAGGAGTTATGGCCTCAGATCTGTTGCTATTATACTTTGTCTTCTGTTTGATTTACCGCAGTAACAGTTTTTGTCACAATCAAGTGAACAAAAACAGACAAATCAAAACTGCTTTTCATCAGCTCTCGGTATCACACAGTAGTCGTGTTTTGTGCCGATCTCTTCTGAGCTATTTGACTTGAGGTATTTGATGGCAGGAGTCCAGACTCTTTAACTGTCAGCTCTTTACATTAGGGCCTCATTATGCTGTCACTGCTGGTGGAGACTGGTGCTGCAGCAAGTGCTTGTTTGTAGCAATCAGTGAGGAAAAAGAGTCATCTTTCTCCACACTTAAGCCCATGAATCTGTCTTCTGCAACGAGAAAAACTGCATGTTCACCATAGGAGCAGCCCCTAGCTCCTCGTCACCGATGCACTCATCAAAACAAGGTTAAAACACTGTGTAACATACATACTACATACATCTACACACATGTCATAACACATACCAGCATATGCTCAGACTTCCAAGCCCCAGTCGCATACACACACATACACTAACATCTATTTCCTATGAACACCCCTATTCACATTAAAGAGTTTTTTTTGTAATGCTTGCAGCAAATGAATAAGCCACTCTTGTAGGCTTTTTAAAAGTACACCTGAGAGCTGCCCCCACTGGGCTCAGAGGATGAGAGCTTAAGGTTAAAAAGCCTATTTAAATTTCAGAGTGAGCGGCATACTCACAGCTAACAGCTAGCAGTCCCTGTAGCTTTGCTCTGTGATGTACAAGTGTTTCCAAGCTTTTACACACATATTTTTTATATATATATATATATATATATATATATATATATATAAAAAGAGCAGTAGGGGTGGTCACCTGTAGTGTACCAGGCAGGGTAATGTGGTCGCAGACTGAGAAACACGACTCGGGGGCGTCAACTTCCACTACAGGTGAGAATACAGAAACCCCATGTGGCGTGGGGTGTATCCCATGTCTGCACGGGACTGTGTAAGGTCTATCAAGTTGCAAAGTGCTGAGAATCAGTGTGAGCATCATATTTCAGAGCTGAAGAACTCTGCTGCTTGTTGTTGTGGAGGAAAAAAGGTGCTGCAGTGCAGATAGTTGTGTATTTTGGTGTGGGATGCATTGCAGAGAAGCTTTAGGCACATGAGCGTGCGCTTGTGTGTGTGCGTGTGTGTGTGAGTATTTCTCCCCTCCACTAGAGTGCTCCTCTCTCTGTGGGGAATGGCGCTGTAGGTGGTTGGAGAAGTGGGTGGGGTCAGGGTGCAGCCGTGTAGCCAGGTGTGTGTTGGAGCTGGAGGCTGGATGGCTGGTTGTAGTACCTTGTTAGTCACAGTGTTGATTGCCAGCGTTGGAGAGGCACTTCCAGAGATCATACACTCCATCCCCAAAGACTCCGACTCCAGGCTGTACGGCGTTGAAGCCTATGGGGGGGCAGACAAAAAATATAAATAAAATCAACACTACCCAATTATTAAAACACCTGAGATCCCACTGCAGGTTGCAAGGAAAGGCCTGTGTTATGTTTGTGACAAATCATCTGCTCAGACCAGATCCATCTGCACTATACAGAAAAAATACACAACTATTGTCATATGAAAGAGCAACACCTTTATTTGGGTCACGTTTGAACTGTGCTTTCTGAGAAGATGAGACAGCCACTTATCCCCACCTTCACCTCCCACCCATCCAACACACACACACACACACACACACACACACACACACACGCCCTCGTCTAGCTGTATAGGCGCACTGTTGTGAGAGATAACTCTGCCATGCCTGTCTCCCAAAACTGCTTACTGTAAGAGGATTGGCTGCCAACAATACCATTTTTAATTCATGATAAACATAAATGAGATTTCACAAACTCTCAATTTCAGTGTCTGAGACACTTAATGGAATGCCTTGTAGGCAGGCAGTGTCTGGAGGGGGAGGGGTGAGCACAGTGCATGTGTCCTACAGAAAACACACTCTTCACTTGGTGCGTTCATTTGTGTCATGCACAAATGAACAGAACTGCATCAGGAGAGCTTTAGTTGAAACAGTTGGCAGAGCTGCATATTAAAATCAATGTACTTTTCCGCTACCTTTACATTTCTAGCAGAGACGCAGTTTGTTGAATGAATGAGACAGTAATTCGGTGCTGTAGGGAGACTACATGAACAGCATGGTAAGTTTTATGTAGTCTCTGTGCTTGTGTGTGTGTGGCAGAGACAATGGCGTCTCTGGCCTCGCCAGCCTAACAGAATCCTCCTTTCCTCCTAGCCTCTGATCAGCCACACTGTGGGGAAGGAGTAGACAAGAGCCCGCTGCGTCAGGAAGCCCCAGGGCCAGGTCAACCTGAGCAGCTCACTAAAACCTCTACAGCTGTACGCAACGCTGGACGAAACTCATCCATAATTAAAGACAAGAGCTCACGCTCAGAATAGCCGGCGCGCACAACTCTGCATTAATTGATGTTTGTTAAAAAAAGTGAGCGCAGAATGTAATGTATGTAATGGCTGCCTGGAGCATAGTTTATTAATAAGGACCCCACTTCATGACAGGCTAGTGAAGCAGCATGGAGAGGCAGTTACATAAAATCTGGATATGAACCCCTGCTGAGTCTGTGTGCGCGCGTGCGTGTGTGTGTGTGTGTGTGTGTGTGTGTGTGTGTGTGTGTGTGTGTGTGTGTGTGTGTGTGTGTGTTTGTACAGCTATCTTTGTGAGGACAAGCAAGGGTTTTTAACCTTTGGAGTGAGGACCATTTTGCAAAGTGAGGACATTTAGGCCGGTCCTCACTTTATTTTCACTGTAATGGCCTCTAGAGTCTGTTTATATGCTTCTCTCAAAGTTTCAGAGAGGTCCTCAAAAAGATGCCAAAATCGAAAATGTGTGTGGATTTTCGGTGTGTGTACGTACTCTGAATACACACACTTTTTGCTCTCTATCGCCCTCTATTGACATAACCGATTTATTGCACAGGAGCAACTTTAACTAGAGAAAGACATGTCTCATGGTTTTTTAGGTAAAATAAAATACATATTATGAAATTTCATTTTGTTTTATTTTACTATCCCTTAGTTTTTAAATATTTAACAAGGTTATAATGTGTTTAACTCACTTATAACATTAAACTACTGTTTAATAGTAACATTAAACTGTAGAAGGATTTTCAGACTGCATGAGATCTATACAACGAAGGTTAAAATGAAGGGCAACTGGACTTGGTTGAAGCTTCAACCAAGTCTAGTTGCCCTTCATTTTAACCTTCGTTGGATAACTATGACCTGGATGACTGAGAATCTTCATAGACATCTGCATGAGATCTACTTTAAATATAAAATGCTCAATTTTTAAATTCCAAATTGATTTCCTCTTTGTGTATTGCCCATTAGTGAGAAATGTCTGTTATAAAGACATCATCACTTTTTTGCTGTAAGATGTTTCTTCCAATGCAGCAGCTTGTTATATAAATTTCACTTTTTATTGTAAGCCAGTCAGATGTGTATTGAGTTGAAACACATTTGTGACATGTCCCTGCTGAGTTGTAAGTTGCAAAAAATCCTGGTGATTTTGATACCCTCAGAGGATAATATTTTTTTGCATATTTCTACTCCTAGTAAGTACTTATTTGTTATCAAAATGTAAGTAATTTGTGTTTTGAGTAAGATATATGTTATAGAATATCAATTGAATTAAAATATTGTTTCTTTTTAAATAAAAATATGAGTTTAAGCATGACACCTGCATCATCAATGCAGTAGCTGTATATTATGGTTCATTGCTGCAACACATCCTCATACCTAAATGACAAAATAGGTTTATTGTCAAGTGTCCCAAAATTACATACTGTATATGGCTGTTGGAAAGTCAAACGACACATTTGACTGTAACCCACAACAATACACATGCACATTTCCAGTATCAGCACAGAGAGGCTGCTGATCGGCCGGTGTCGTGCCAAGGTAGGTACCACAGATAGAAGGCGTTCCCCCGACAGTTGGAGCGCATGCATTCAGCTGTGAAGGAACTTCGAGTTCAACAAAGTAACTGATAAATATAACATGTAGATTGTTTATTTATCCTTTTAGTATTGTTGTTTTATCAAAAAGGTTTTGCAAAGCAAGCTAATGCATGGCTTCCAGATTTACATTTACATTATGTTGAACTTTATATTTATCTTATAGCAAAATTTTTTTGCAATAGTCTGACAATGATAAAACTGACCACGGATTTAATCACTTGCTCATCCATGTTACTGTTTGGAAGCTAGAACTAGACCCTAAAATGTGACACTGTAAAATCAAAATAAATGGAATCAGATTAACATCTGTGCATTATAGAGGGCGGATACGTTTTATGGCAGAATGCATGTCCAGCCTGGTAGGACCAGTACTGTAATCGCTTTGTGTGTATGAAAATTTATTTGCAATGCAATATTAAATGATTATGATACTAATCCCCTTCCCCTTTAAGGAGGGGGATTCTGAATAGTTTCCAATAATATCTAAAGGCTATCATTTGCAATGGAAACGTGGATTACAAGGACAAAATATTGTCTACAATGCTGCATTCATGTGTTTGCTGATCAACTAATTATTACTGTGATCTTGATTTTACAGTGTTGACTCCGTAGCTATTGGTAGGAGCATCTTCCTTAGAAAAGATTCATAAGGTCATAATGTGACTCATTGCCTTTACTGTACGCATACCGATCATGCTTACTGTCGCGCAAAGTATAGATAAACGTGGTCATTAGACATTTTTATTGTTTTTATTGTGGGCCTACAAAACCTCTGAGGCTCAGGCCTAACTGCAGGTTAATGCAGGCCTGCAAACAGTAACATGGATGACCAAGTGATCGACTCCATGGTCAGTTATAACATCGTCAGACTATACACTGAATTTATTTTTATACTTTTAAGTATTATTACTGTATTTTTAACTGTTTCCAACTGTATAAGCGGTGGACAGTATGTTACTGTAGATTTTCAATGCATTCTGGGAAAATATTACTCTAAATCTAAATACAGTAATATTAACAGACCGCGAAAACCACCACAAACCTCCATTTTGAAATGAAGGACTGTCATCGATTTGAGAATGTTTAGTTTGACACCAGATCTCAATTTTCCTTGCAGCTTTGACATTAGACTGTTCAGGACTGGACTGGATGCAATACGTTAGCGCTGATATTTTATGTGACATTTTACACAGACTCTTCAGTTGTAGCTCTGAATGTGGTGAGTGCAGTTCACTTGTATAAGACCAAATTTAACGTTACAAGAGGCTGTTGAGGGATTGCTGTGTCTGTCTGCTGACCCGGCAGCTGCTTCATAATTAATATCTGATAAGTGGTGAATCTTGAAACAAAAATTGCAGTAACATAACGTTAAGTTAATTGAACTTTCTATTTTATTTAATGGAGCTGTAAGTTTGGGTGTGGAATTAATGTTAACATTAAAGGGGCATTATGGAATTTCCAGCGGCCACTCATGTTGCGGTTTTAAGATTGCAACCAGGCGTGCGCTCGTACACGTGCTCGCTTGAACTCATGAGCGAATAGAATCCAAAACACAAATCACTTTCATAGAGAGATCTCGCAATAAACACAGAAACACCTCACCTAACCTTATCCCCAACCAGGTTTTTACTAGTCTATATGGCCAGTTATAGCTTCTCCAAAGAAGTAAGTATTTTCAGAGAAATCCATTTATACATTGATTGCTGACTGCCTACAACATTGTTAGACTCTCAACTTTAAAACAGATCTATTTATATGTATTAATATATACACACCTTGAGAAAAACACCACCTACTTCAGAATCCTGATTGTGGATTTCAGCTCAGCGTTCAACACAATGTCCCCTAAGAAAATGATCAGCAAACTCAGCACTCTGGGTTTAAATACAACACTCTGCAACTGGATAGTGGACTTCTCACGAACGGGCCCCAGTCAGTTCGGATTGGCGGACTCACCTCCACAACTCTAGTGCTCAACACGGGAGCCCCCCAGGGCTGTGTGCTCAACCCCCTCCTGTTCACGCTGTACACCCACGACTGCATCCCCCGACATGGATGAGACTTCATATGGGGAGGAAATTCATAATCTTGTAGAGTGGTGCTCAGAGAACAACCTACCGCTCAACGTCAGCAAAACCAAGGAGCTGCTCATTGATTTTAGGAAGAAGGAGATAAAGACACACACTCCTGTCGGCATCAGTAGAGCTGAGGTGGAGCAGGTGAATAGTTTCAAGATCCTGGGAATCGGCATCACAGAGAACCTGACATGGTCGTCTCACATCTCCACTCTGGTGAAGAAAGCTAAGATACGACTGGATTTCTTGAGGAAGCTTAAGAAGACCAAATTCCCACGCCAAGTCCTTGTCAGCTTTTACAGGGGAGCAACAGAATGCATCCAGACTGGAAACGTCACTA